TTACAGACTTGCCAGATGGACAATGGGACAGGGATGTTATACCTGTAATAGTTGTATAGGAAGAGGAAGCTGTTCAGCAATGGTTGCTTGTGACCTGTTTTTATGACAACCCTAACTACCAAGCATAACAAGAAGCAGATCCAAAATAACAGATTCTGCGAAAAGCAGTGTAAAAAAAGAACATTTCCCAAAATTATTTGTTCTCTGGAAGGTGCATTCCCCAAAATAGTTTCCAAAGAAGCAAACAAAGACCAACAAAAAGGAAGGCCCTAGAATCACAATGCAAAGGAAAGCAGCTGGAGCAGAGGAAGCATTAATTTGTAGTTCCAAAGCTCTTGGAATGAGCACTGTATCTGGAATAGAAAACAGTTCAAAGACAAGGGAGGCCAGTCAGCAAAATGAATAGAGCAGCCTTGATGCATCATGAGGTGGTAGCAACTGCCAGGTGATGACTAATGGGACCAGAAGCATAATGGAGATGGTTTCTTATCAGAGTAGACAGCCCTCCCCCCCCCCACCACTCCTTCTACTATATATGAAGCACTATGCTGAATAAAGCATAACAGTGCCTTTGTTCAGCTATCCTTCACATTCTACCAACCCAATGTATGTTTGGTTGGGATACAGATTGTTCAAGTGACCCCACTTGGGCTTTGGAATACCTTACTAGTGATCCTTTTTTCTTGAACAGTGAAACAAAGCATTTGGCCTTTCAGCATGATTGCTCTTCAACTCCTATATGACCTTCTTGTTGGATCATTTCTACTAATTTTTTTCCAAAACTTACTTGCAAGTTAGGTTAAAGTAAACAATGACTACCATTCAGGATTTATTTATTTTTTTTGGTTGTGTCAGGAGCGACTTGAGAAACTGCAAGTTGCTTCTGGTGTGAGAGAATTGGCCGTCTGCAAGGACGTTGCCCAGGGGACACTCGGATGTTTTGATGTTTTATCATCATTGTGGGAGGCTTCTCTCAAGTCCCCGCATGAGGAGCTGATAGAGGGAGCTCATCCATGCTCTCCCCGGATTCGAACCTGTGACCTGTCGGTCTTCAGTCCTGCTGGCACAGGGATTTTAACCCACTGCGCCACCGGTGGCTCTAACATTCAGGATGGCTATGCATCACCTTCCTCACCAGAGGCAGCTCATCTCTGCATATCAGTTGCTAAGGAACAACAGCAGGAAGGTGCTTTTGTGCTCATTTTGTTGGCAGGCTGCCCACAGGAAAAGTGCTTGGTCATGATATCTACACTGCTAGACCAACTTTAGTCCGATGCAGCATGGATTTTCTAATAGTCTTAGCTCTAGCCTGTTTGTGCCATTATGATATGTACTGTATATCTGTTTCTGTTTTATCAGCTTCCTTGAGAATGGAATATGAGGAAAGGCAGATCAAAGCTTTTAATGATAAATACCTTACCTGCAAATAGCCCTCCAAAACATCAGGCAGCAATCTTCTTCAAAGTTCTCCTACCACTTCCTGTTAATTATACATGTTGGGGACTGAACAAAGGACCTCCTGCATACAAATATGTACTTTACCAGTTTGCAGTTAGTCCCCGTTATGGGCAGACTTGTGTATATAAAGATCTCTCTGGAGTGATTTACTATCCTCCCTCTTTCTTCTTACTTACATATTGATCCTGAAGAGAAGCTTGAAAAAAATGATTTATTTAATCTACTATATTTCCCTAGCTCTATAGGATGCAACAGATTTTGACATTTTGTCAAAATAATCTACAATGTACATATTTTTGTCTGATTACCTAAATCTGTTAAATTAAGAAAGATTATGTAGGGCATTTGATTAAGACTGTCAAACACTGAGCTGCAAACAGACTATGGCTATTGAGCAGCATCTGCTGGTGAATTCGATGTATTCCAACATCCACCACTTTGAAAACCAGAGTCAGACATTATAATGGAATCACTGAAGAGAATATTCTTTGAAAACAAGATAGCATCTCAGTGAAACGTATTAACAGAGTAAGGCATGTAGAGGGGGGGGGGCTTGAGGGGCTTGCCCCTGCCCCCCCCCCCCCCGTTAAACCCACAGAATAAGTTTTTGTGAGAGCATAGAAGCAACACACAAAGTTTGGTACAAGGCTTCTAAATTTGAGTGAGAAAGTTGAACAGATCTAGTAAAATGAAATTCTGAACAGAAATAGCACTTGGAAGTACAAATGCAGAAAATAAACCAATGAAATATTGCTGGGGGCATAACAGGGTCAGGGTATAGAGCTCTGAACAATCATTAAACAACAGCAACAAAATATAGAGAGCAATTCTCTTTTCTGCCTCCTGATGTGTTTTCATCTACTAATATGCATAATATCGTAATAATCTCATTTTAAGCTCAATAGTACATCTATGAAATTATGTACACATTTCTTTCAGCTACTCAAAAACACATTGTCTTCAATTAGAAACAAAAGTTATAAAGTCTTTTTTTTATTAGTTTATACTCTTATATGTCAAAAAGAGAAACAAGAAAGCTGAACTACTGTATATAGAATGTCCACTTTCTATATACTGCTGGTTTCCTCTCACATTCCAAAATGTTCACGTAATGAGTATAAAATGAACACTCACAGGAAAATAATATATAGAAATTGCTGGAACCTTGATGTCAGTAGACCTCTCTATGAGCAAAAGAAACTAACCAAGACAGCAAAAGTTGTGAAACGGCCTGAAAGTATTAATTTAGAAACAGCAAGGGAACTGTTAAACTCTAGTTCCAACAAGTGATTATCTGTATTAGAGCTAAAGGACCACTAATAAAGCAATGTAATGGGTTAGAACAGTAAGGTCAAACTTGTGCCCCTCCACGTGTTTTGTACTTCAGCTCCCAGAATTCCTGACCATTGGACAACTTGGCTAGGGCTTCTGGGAGCTGGAGTCTGAAACATGTGGAGGGATACAAGTTTGACGCCTCTGAGTTAGAACAGTACACTGAGTTCCCTTTGTAAGACCAAAACATATTAGTAATATAGCAACATCAATGATTACAATTTAACCAATTTCATTTTATTTTTCATGTTATATGTTTTCAGCATTTCTGTAAAAAAGAGAGAGACAGCAGGTATCTTTGAGGATTACACATTTTGAGGCGTATAAAAAATTAGTAAATAAGAACTCCATAAAATTGGCAACCATATGTTGTCCCAAGAAATATGATAACTTTAGAATTAGTTATACTTACATTTAGAAGCAAAACGTTATACATTTTATTGTGAAGTATGTAAAAGTGAGCTGTTAAGATGCAATCCTATATACTCTGGTCTACAGAATATGCAAATCGTATAGTGTACAGACTTACTTTGAGTGAGCACTTTTGAACACAGTGGGATTTACTTCCATGTAAATAAAACAGTTTGGAAATAATTTACAGTAGCTTTCATGCAAGCTGATACAATACTGTTTTAAGTTCACAAAGCATTAAAACTGAAAGAACTCCTCACTGCAAGAATTGTGATGCATCGGGGGTACAAGTAAATTTGAACTTGCCAATGGTATGATTAAACAAACTCAATTTTATTTTATTTAGTTTTAATACCCCAGTCTTTACACAAAAGGATGATATGGAAGGTAGCTGGAAACCAAGAAAGAGTATTCAAGTAAAAGGCGTCTCTTAACCAAATGATCTTTCAATGTCTGTTTTCTCGTGGCACTCATGCTTGCATGAATACTGCAATGGTAAAAGCGACCATGATCCATTTTAATTCAAAAAGCTGATTATAATAATAAAACAAGAAAGTGCATGTATAAAAACTTCTTTAGAAAAGGAAATAGTTGCTTTAGTAAGTTTACACTTTTATACAGTTCAATAAATGTTTCAAAAGGAGATATTGAATGGCATATATCGTTGACATATCGAAAAGGTACCTTAAATCAGTTACAATACATATTCACCAAATACTTCTGTACTACAGTATTAGTAAGTGACTGGAATGAAAACTGTCTTATGGCACAGCATCTTTGGTGCATCACCTGAAAGTGTGGGCAACTTGGCCAGTAGTACGCAGTTCCCATTTTTAGGTACATGTCAACAGTTGCTTCAAAGAAATGTCCATTTAAATATATTACGGCAACAGCAACCTAAAGCACGTATGCAATACTGATTGATTATACATTTTAATATACTTTTCCAATGTTAAGTAGTGGTCAAGTTTTCAAGTTATCTTGCACCTGAAGGGGAGAAGGGCAACCAAATTTCCTCAAAGAGAAATGCAAATAATTTCTTCTTGTCTCCTCAATTTCACATAAAGCCAGAGCTGAAACAAAATAAAAACCATTAGCACATTTCTCTACAGAAAGCAAAGATTATTTGTAGTACTGAAACCCATGCTTACATTGATAAAATCAGATGGATAAAATTCTGAATGCTTAGAGAACTAGCAAGTAACACATATTTCTCCTGGTTTCATACTAAAAAAAAAAGCATGTCATATAAAAATTATTCTACTTGCTAACTTTCCATGAAGGGAGTAAAAATTCCAGTATAGAGTGGTGTATTTCAGAAACAGCAGCACAATCTGCAGTATCTACATAGCTAAATCAAACCACCCCCTGCATTCTGCCAATTAATGAGTTTGTAATATTTGTGAAATATACATACTATATTAATAATGTAACAGATAACAACATTATGGTTATATCACTAATGTTTTATACTTCTTTAAAAAACAGGACTCCTTTAATACAAAAATAAAAATATTTATGTATAACAGAAAATGGATGCTGTTGTTGTGTGCCTTCAAGTTGTTTTTGACTTACTGTGACCCTAAGAGAAACCGAACATGGGGTTTCTTCACAAGATTTGTCCCAAAAAGTTTGTCTTTGCCTTTCTCTAAAGGTCCTTCCAGACAGGCCCATATTCCGGGATCTGTCTCAGTTTTACCTGAGGCAAAACTGAATGAATTCAGGTAAAAGTGGGATTTGGTTGACCTGGGATGGCATCTAGCCGCCACCACCACCCCCCCCCCCCCCCCAGGGAAAGCCTGGGGTTTGGGTTGGGCGGTAAGGACAGAAATCCAGGAGGAACTGGGTTAAAATAACCCAGTTCCTCCCAGATTTCTAGCTTGTCTGGAAGGGCCCTAAATCTGAGAAAGCCTCACTTTCTCAAGGTCACCCAGTGGATTTCTATGGCTGAGCAGAGAGCAGAACCCTGATTTCCAGAGTCATAAGCCTGCACTCAAACCACTACACTATGCTGGCTAATGAAAATAGATGTACATTATCATTATGTTGCTTGTTCCAAGACTACATAGAAACGACCAAGTTTTTCTCAAATCTATTTCTCTCTCTTTCAAATCAATGGGCAAAGAACTGAGGCCAAAATTAAATTACAATAAGTACATTTTTGTTAAATCCAAATCCAAGTATAATTTGTCATTTAATTATCTATCTTAAGATATGCTTTCAAACAACTAATTCAGATATGGATTTCAAAACTACTATTCCCCATTCTATTTGGCCAAACCTCAAACTTCAAATAATTAAACATACTTTCAAGTTCCAATAAATTGTAATTACTACTGCTTAATGAGGAAGTGTTGTTCCTTGTATTTTAGGCACCATATTATAAAATCAAAGGATGTATTTGCCATTAACGTATTTTGTTTCCATTGTGTGCTTACAGTTCACATCTGGATCTTTGAGTGTTCCATACAATAATACTAATGTGTGGTTCTGTATGTTAAACTTAAAATGAAATTGTCAAATCACTGTAGTTGCTAAACACAGAAGTACTCTGTTCCCAAAAAGGAGCTGAATTCAGGGCCATTATCTATGCCTAGTTTTCCAGGTGACAAAGAAAAATGTCATTTAACTGTGAACAAAAAGGAAAGGGGAAAAAAACCTTGTTTGACACCACTAGTCCCATTCAGGATCATTCTGCCCAGAGTTCTAATTTGAGGCAGATTTCTAGTTTGAAAGTAATCAAAATTGTTAATATGCAACTATTCTATACTGCATATATAACTGCATTCTTATTACAGTTCATGGACATATTACACTGCATTTCATAATACATATTTTGTTGATAATTCCACAATATCTTCTATTATCACTTACAGGCTGCTGTGAGTTTTGGTACTTCTTTTTTTTTAGAAAGACAGCCAATGAGATTTAAAGAAACCGCAAACTTCTGGATTTTTCTCTCTACAATTTTGAAAACTGACATACCCTAACCACATAGTATTGTCAAACTGCTACCAAATACTATTGGTGGTATTCCCTGGGGTGCATTCTGTCCCTTTCTAACTTCTCTCTCTCTTCCTGCATATTCATAACTTCCTGATCTCTGACATCAAAACAGAGGAGCTCAAGACGAAAACCTGGATCCCTTCAGAAGAAAAGATAAAAAGAAGAGTTCTTAACAAAGTGTCTCATTATATTGGCAAGAAAGGTTTCAAACAGTATAAAACATAACTGCTGCTCTACATATGTCATCTTTATTCATCTACAGTGTTAAAACAAAATTTGTCAGAAGTGAAAAGTATTAACTATCCAAATCCCAAAATCATCTGAAATTAACTACTTACTTTTTCCTATCTTTATCTTTTTTTAAGCCAACGGTGGGGGTAGCCGGAAGAGGCCTCCCTTGGAGTATGTCTGAAGCAGCCTTTCTTTTATTGAATGCCATAATTTCATCTTCCAAGAGCTTCCTTTTTTCCTCCACTCTTATCCGCTCTTCTTGATGAAGCCGTTTCAAGTGTTCGAATTTCACTTGTAGCTAAAGTCAAGTGCAAAAAAAGAAGAAGAAATTCAGCCACAAGGTGGTAGCCTAGCATTTAGCCTATGATGTTCACTAATCACATGGTAGGAACATAGAGACTAGTTTTCTAAACTAATACAAGACATTCACATTTGTTGATTCTCACATTCTAGTAAACACAAAACATTATTCAAAGGCTAATATCTTACAATTAAATCATACAATAACTTTTAAGTAGAAAATATGATCCTTTAGGAAATACTCCATACACAACCTCTTGTTTCTTATTAAACTGAGTACAATGCATTGCAAAGGACACGGCAATGATTTCTACCTTTAAAATTCCACCTTTCAAAGAGTACTGAGAGAGAAAGAGTGATGACAAAGGCTTTTGGTCAACAGTTCACATCAGAATTTTATATCTTGCTAGGTTACCTTTTGATAATTACTCATGAAATGCTGGTTTATATGATTTTCTGTATCCCTTTTTAAAATAAAGAAAAACTTATCATAGCACATGCTAAAGTTAGATTTCATATTTTACTCTTTGCCTGTTAGCTGAGTATCAAAATCAAGCCTACTAAAGAAAGGATTATGATTTCTGCATACTCAGGGCAGATGAGGATGATGATGGTGGTGGTGGTGGTGGTGATGATGATGATGATTATTATTATTATTTATACCCCACTTTATCTCTCCTGAAGGAGACTCAAAGCAGGTCACAATATGAAAAAAATAGCTTGTATCTGTGTACGTGTGTGTGAAAGAGAATATGTATGTGTGTGTATATATATATACACACATACAGAGAGAGAGAGAGAGAGAGAGAGAGAGAGATCTGCCCTCAAATCAGTTTGGTATCAAATAAGGGCATCTGCTGTTTTCCAAGAACCACCAAACACAGAGGCAGTTACAGATCAATTTTTAAACATGATGAAACAGAAGGAATGAAAAATGGATCATCTTAACCCTCACTACAGAATAAAATGGAGTGGGAATTTGGCAGTTTATTTGCAGGGGGAGATTTTGTACACTTGAGCACCTATTAGTTTACAGTATTGAGATTAAGAGAAATCTTGCCATTTGACATGCCACTGTTCTCTGGCAACTCCTAATCTAATGGTGGTATAAAACTGTAAGAACTCTATCCCATTTCAAACACACAGCTGATCTAAAAACATTCCTTCTGATTGCAATTTAGGTATGTTAAAAGGACTTTGTCTTTTGAAGGAAAGAGAAACATGTACAGCCATTAAGCATAAGAGGGGATAAAACACCAATATTTGGGGAAAGTACATTGTATGGTTTACATCCAGCAAATCCAAATTTCAATTACCTCAGTGCTGCCATTATGTCTAAAAAGTGCCAATCTGAGTTATGATGTTTTAAGAACTCACACTGATACACTGTAGAGTAGACTCAAGGGCAGCTGAATCATTTTCTTTTGCCAAACTTTGTACCTAATCATCATCATCATCACCATCACCATTATCAACTTTATTTCTATCCCACCATATCTCCCAAAGGGACTCTGGGCAGTGTACAGAAAAAATCGGCAAACATTCAATGCCAAAAAAATAACATAAACACTTCAAATAATAGACAATCAATTAGACAACATAAAAATATACTTGTAAAACAACTCAAAATAACAAGTGAGAAATTTAAATACACCAAAATAAAAAAAACTGAGCCACATTTCTCTAATGACTTTAACAGAATGTGCTATAAGATCATTAGTGCGTAAAGTGGTATAGTGCCAACAGCCAGGTTTAGATCAACAAGCCCAGAGTTCAGCAATCTTATTCTATTGCACTCCAGAAGGTATTTTCCAAATGTTTTATTTTCATCATGTATCTAACAATTCTCTACAATTTTCCCACTGCCTAATTAACATAAAGTTCCTTCACATTGGCTGTACCATGAGCCTTTGAAGGGGAAAATGGTCTCAAAGCTAATTGACCTTCATTTGTCAGAAATGACTCTAATACTATAATTACACATTTACTTATTTGTATATTTCTAGCCCTATGGAACTCAGTGAAGCTTCCCTCCTTGCATTAAACAAGTGCACTGTCTGTAAGACTCGGTCTCTGTCTTTACCTAATTTTCACACCTTGTAGAAATAGACTTCAAAAATTGATAGCTATTTTGCCTCCATTTGCTTACGGGGCGCTCAATCAGTGTGTAGGTTTCCAACTATCAAAAGCCAGCATTACTGCAGCAAATGGGGCTGAAAATAAAACTGATAAACTCACAGCAATATTACAGAATAGACAGACTGTTGCCCATGAGGGGAGCTCATCCTTGGCATAACATATCAGAACAGACTCCAAATCTGAGCATTATTCCTTCTCATACCAAATGTGATGGTCTTATGCTGAATCTGGGGGCCTCACGCCAATCATATTAAAAGCATAAAGGAAATATTCAGAAACAAAAATGAGGTTTGGGACTTGTAAAAATAGCTTAAACTAAGAAAAAAATAAATCAGAAACCAGAAGACTGAATCTATAATGCAAGTTTTCATATGCAAGGAAGTGTATATGTGCAGTTGCACTGAGGAAAAGTAAGGGGGATGAGGTGAACACATATTAGCCCAGAAAGATGGCTAGCCAGTGTCTGTGAGTTTGCTGTTTCCTCCTTTCCTAGTACCCCTGTTCCCCATCTCACTTCATGTGCTTCAATAAAGCCTAGGGGGAAATTAAAGAGAGCAAAAACACACAGCCCTACTGTATATGCAATGAAATTCAATCTTTTAGGAGTGGGACATTTAAGAGAACAATATTTTGTGCTGACTTAATCCCAACCTTGGGTAATAACCCAATGCAGCCAAAGGACTTTTTTCCACAACAGTTTTTGCTGGAAAAGAAAATGCCCACTGCTCAGTTTAAAATTTGTCTCTTCAACAGTGGAAATTTAAAAAGCAGAAACAATAGGTAACAGCTATGTAGGAGATTCCTCTGAGCATGCTATTTCATTGGGTCCTTACCAACATATGTTAATTTTTTCTAAAACAGACTTTTCATTAAATACTGGATACTTTGTGCAAGCTGTTCAAGCCACCACAAGTACCAGATCGCAATCAAAGACAGACACGCTTACCTCTCGCTCAGCTTCTTTTAGCAGTGCTTCTTTCTCCTTGACTCTCTGAACAAACATTTGCCTCATTTCTTCTTCTTTCTGCTGTAATTCACCCAGGAATTCGTGACGTTTAGCTTCGTATGTCTCTTGTAAACTAAGGACCATAAAATGTAAAACAGTCACCATAATATATAGGAGGCAACAAACATGCAACTCCTATTCCAGTCCATTTGTGCACAATTTTAAAAATACATTTTATCTTAACCTACATTTGGGTAGACTTTAATCTTTTCAAGAAAACGTAAACATTTTTTTTAATGAAAAGGCATTACTCCATTTGATCTTAATCTTAATAGCAAGGACGCAGTCCAGCTGTGTCACACAACTCTGCAGTTCTGAGGACAATTAAAGGAGATGGCAACACAAATTACGCAAGCTGTTACAAGAAATGCACTGCCTTTGAAAATCTTCATTTGAGATGTTATGCGACTTATGCCATTTGTAGCAAGTTAATAGTCTCTAGTAAAAAGAAAATATTTAAAGCCAAACTGCCATGTGCAAAAGACCACACCTGATGGTCATATTACTTTCTTCCAATATATGGGAGTCAAGATCAATTTTGATTTTCCCCCCAAACTCTAAATAGCGGGTTTCAGATATTCCTCTTTTTTCATATTGAGGATTTTAAAAAAAACAAAAACATATGGTATCTGGGTATGGTTACTAGGGACTATATAATTATGACGAAAGATTACAAGGAAGGGCATTAACTGCAACTAACTGGTATTGAAATGTTGAGAGCATTTCTCTTCAATTTTAAAACAGCTGCACCTATTCTCTGAATACAGGTTTCTGAAACTACAGTTGCACAAAACTAACAGAAAAAAATTCAATCAACCAATAGTGGACACAAGTTTGTGATTATCAACATATGTAAAAGGTATTACAGATATAGTTGTTTACCCAAGGCCTCAGTCTGGTGATTCCTCAATCCACAGATAAAGGTACTATCATACGTAACACAGAATGTATAGCAAGTAAAATATGTGTAGCCTTTTTTCCTTTACTATACTATTGACTGAAAAAAAAAATCAAAAGCTAATAGTCACATGACTGTTTCGAACTTGTGAAGGAACACCTACCTGCCAGAAGGCTTTAGAGAATAAAATCATGTTAGCAATAAACATAACATAAATTAGAGAAAAACCAAATTATCTTTAAAATTAGTGTTTTTGGGGACAACCTAACCAATCTGCTTATATCACTTGACTGAGATATCTATTCAACAGAATTACTGTGACATTTCAATGCTAAAATGCTTTCTGAGGTTGACATTTTCTCCTTGTTTGCGGAGCTTTTCAGTACTTTTCTCTTCTTCAACTGTCAAGTTAGAATCGCTTCTGCTTTAAAAAGCAACAATTGAAAGCTTTCTGCCAGATTGCTAGAAGTGTCTCTCATTTCTGACATACTGACAAACTTATATCCTCTGAGTTTTGTTCCCTATAAAAACCCTTGCCAGTAAAGACACTGTTCTGAATCAGGAAGATCTTAAAAGAAGAAAGAAGTCCAAAGTTGATTTCCATCCCTTTGCAACCAAATACAATGGCAAAAGTTGGAGGTTTTCCAAACCCAGCACTTGCATGATCCATTAATGGACAATTGGGAGTTTTCATTGAGATTTTATTTTTATCATTCAAAAAAGAAAGAAAACAAAAGCAACCTTTGTGTTGCTACTGCATTTCTTTATATCACATCTAGGAAGCATCACTTTTCCTATCTCTCTCTCTCAATCTCTCTCTCTATCTATCTAAAAACATCTCTTTTTCTCCAAGCCTCCTTTTATGTGGGGATTATAAAGTCAGCTACTGAGTCTTCAGTACCCATTTTAGGCTGCATCTAAAAATTGATTGCACATATTGTGAATCTGCCTTCACTTCAGTTTGGTCAGACAGACATCCTTCCTTAGATAATCGTGTTTAGGAACGACTGGCTCTTCTTGTTTTCAAGAGAAGTAGGCTATTTAGAGTGCCACTTAGCTGACTATTGTGGCAATTATGCAGCCACACTACACCTCTCACCAAATAAACTTTAACCAGATTGATTCCATGCTTTGCCAAGTTTAAGGGGGAGGAAAAATGCCCTCTGTAGCATGGGAGAGATCAGGAAGAAGGGTCAAAAATGGATGCTGGATTCAAAATGGCACATATGTATCATCTGAAGAATGCTGCACAGTTTGAAAGATGCATCAACTCTGGCAGAAAGCTACTTCTATACACACTGTGGAAGATTAACTTCATACCGGCAGCATCAGATTCTTGAATAGGCAAAAACACAAACAAACAAAAAACCAAGATCATCCTTCCAGATATGCTACATCAGAGGTAATAGTTTCCATTCCCTCCAATGACCTGAACAAATTCTTCTCCAGAGACAAGAAAGCTAACTGCCAACTATTATAGACTATTATGTCTTCTAGCCTCACATACTAGATTCTGTAATGAAAGGTGTATGTTAATATGACAACTGCTGCTACAAATAAGACATTTACATTGGACTCTCATTAAGAAAGAAAAGATGCCATATTAACTGGTTTTTATGAACACAGGAGGCTACATTATACCAGATCAGACAAATACTGTCTGCTCTGACAGAATGTGGGTCTCCAGGGGTCTCAGGCCAAGGTCCGTCTCATCAGCTGCTACTGATCCTTTAACTGGAGTTGCAACTTGGGATATGCAAAGCATCTTTTCCCTTACTGAGCTATGAGTGCTTCTCATATCTGCAAGGTAGTATGTGAGTACACACTTGAGAATATTTTTAATATCATCATCTATTGGCCAAAACCAGTAGTGGTATTATGTCTTTATTAACTCATACTCATCTCTTTCTGAAAGACAAAAAATAATAGTTTATTTATCCATATCCCTAAAACTGAAATCAAGCACACTACACTATAAAGCTACATACCTTTCTCTACGAGACGTCTTTTTGCTATCTGGCATCCTAAAAACAAAGGTGTAAATCGATCAAGTTCTGTTTCTGTCTAAAGAGCCTAACATCAAAACTTAATCTACGTTTATTCAAACTATTACTGAGTTCAATGGAACTTCAAGAAATTTCTGTATTGCATTACAACATTATTTTATTTTATTCTTACTTGGAGAAGGATATCAATATGGATGCCATTCAGATTATAAGATTTACAGATTAATTATATTTTTTTTCTTTCAGAAATACAGAAATAACATTTATTATTTGGAGTTTTAAATTCGTGCTTACTAATAAAATGTATTCATATATGTCTGTAAAGTTCCCATGTATGAGGACCTCTATAATTAAATACTGTTGCCTTCTTACCAAGGATTAATGGACCAAAGTTTCCAAGTAGAGTTTTCCCTCCATATTTGTGGGTTTAACTTATGCAGATCTTATTATTTAGAGATTTGATTTATATGCTCTCTCTAGCAATCTTTAGGTCCTCTAACATGATCATTCAGTCACCCTGGAAAACCTAGAGATTTCTAGAGAAATGTTCTCCCAGGTTTAAAAAAAGTGGTTTTATGCATGGTTTCCCCCTTTTGCAAGGGTAATGTGCACCTAACCTCTGTAAAAGTGGAAAGCCTACTGTTGTGCAGTTCCTCAAAGTTGAATGACAAATATCACATGACTAGTAAGAAGATAGAGTTAGACTTCCAATGGAGGAACATGGGACAGGTATTTAAGATGCATACAAAAACCAGTTAAGAGTAAAAATTGAGCTTTAAATCTGAGACCCTAGATAATATATTGTACTTCTGTCAGCATTACCTGGTACTCATTTTAAATTATGCACCCAATGCATAAGACTGCTCCAGGTAAATAGTTATAAGAGTTACCTTGGCAACTAAATTCTATAGCAAAAGTAGTTCTAAGTAGCTACTCCCCTTCCTTTAAGCACCAAAGCTGAAAGACCTTTCTTATGAAAATTTAAAACGTTTAATCAAGATGCTGCATGATATGAACTATAATAACAACTTTCTCCACACATAATTAACAGCAAGTATTAATTAAAAATCTACCAATGTATACCTACCTTATTTTAACCCAATAAAAAAGGAAAAGCATGTTGCCTGTAGCACGTTTAATACATCAAACCAATATATTTGAGGGCCTGTTAAACACATATACTTTAAGCTAGTCATTAGTAAACATGTGGAATAGCCTAGCACACCAACTATACCCACCATAAAAAGAAATTGCTCAGCAATTGCAAGACGCCACGTGTCTATACAGGCAATTAGTTATATAGTATAAATAAAGAGCTATGGGTTTTCTTCAGTCACGGCTGTAGAACTGCTGTAGTAGTACATTGACTGGTATGAATTCCCTCTTGCATTGGTTACTGCTGTTTCATTTCATTTTTTATTTATCATTTTCAAAGCAGAACAGCTGTTTTAGGCAACCCTTTTCTCTATGCACACTCTATTTCACTCTAAACTAGGCTATCTGATGTAAGGGACTGGCAATTCCATCCCCCCACATACACACATCCATGATCAAATGTGTTAAGAGACTAGCAGGAAATCTGAACTCACTGGATACATCTGTTTCTTTCCTTCCTGGAAACTTTCAGGGACTGGCATCAGTCCATGGACTGCCACTGGCACTGAAATATCAGCAAACTTTTCCCTACAGTATTGGTCTGTTCCTAATGTATCTTAAGAACAATTTAGTCATATGGCGTTATCAGTTTTACTCATTTCAAGCTGTGCCCTTTGAAGATTGAATTTACAACTATTCAAATGTCAGCAGCTCATTGAAATAAAACATGTATCTAAACCTGCTAACAGAATCTACTTAACAGTTATCAGAACTTTCAATTCATATTATCTGTTCAGCCTCATATTATCTGTTCATTCAATCTCATTACTTCCCACTATTACATCCCCACAAATCTTTCAAGGCTGTTAGCTCTGTTATGTAAAAAGATGCAGTCTTAAATTTAAACTGTCATCAGTTTTATCAAGAGAAGATAAAGCCTATGAAGAGTAGATCTACTTGTTTACTTTCTCCTGATGCAGCCTTTTAGTTCAGAATTCTTTGTAACCGTATTTACAGCCAACAAAGCAGAAGGCTGCAATGCTTTGGCTTACATATATTGGATGTAAATTTTAAGGAAAATGTTGATTTTTCCTTTCCAGATCTAATTACATCATTTAGTAATTTGACAATTAGTTATATCCTTTTTTGCATACTATCCTTTTTATACACAATTCTTTCAGCTGGTCTTTCAGCCTGGTGCCAATATGCTAAATTTTAAAATAAATTAATTAGACAATTGAATTTAAAAAGTGCCACTGTAATTTAAACAATCCCAGATTTCTTGTTCTAAATTAATTACATTTTCAAATGATATTCTGAGAAGATCTAAGTAAAATCTGCAGCATTTTCAATGTCAGACTTGATTTATAACAGCCAGCCATCATGATCCACAAGATTAAAAAAACCCACAAGGAAGCAATTAAAGTTGTGCCACAAGTTCTAATCTATTCTATAGTGACAGTACAGCAACCTTTTCACACTCAAAGTCCACCGGCTGCATAGATTCTATTTCAGACATTAGTAATAATAGAAGAAGAACAGTAAGAAGGAAATATGATGGAGAAAGGTTATATAGTAGAGAATGTACTTACATTAGTTGCAAAGATAAAAGAATAAGAAAAGAGGATAGCGAACATGAATGAAGAACTGGCACTGCCAAAAAGGAGTTCTGAAAGAAATCAAAAAACATCTTAGGTCCATCTTCCTGACCTCCAAATGCAATTAATGTTGAACAATTTAACAAAGAACAACTCTTCCTATTCTCTGCTGAAAATATCATTACAATGTCTGCCAGCAATTTTCACAGTTCATAGGAGGCAGACTCTATTTTAATGTATGACCACAAAAGCCAACAGTGTACTTTCTGACACAACTTCCAGCAGCTCAACTGCATATCCAATAGACTATTCATATGATTAGAACTGTTAACACGGTGGCAAGTTTCCTTTGCCATTAACTCGCTTTCTTAACTGGCACATAATCCCCAACTGACTTTTTAATAATACTAACTCCACTTCAACTTCTTCCATGACTGCAACTTTCACATGATTAAACTCTCAATGAATTAGGGTAGCCTCATCAAATATCCTAATCCATATGATAACTAGGTTTGCAGTTTAAATAAAATATAGAAAAATAGATACAGAAATAAAATAGACACTTATCTCTCAATCACCATTTCAAATGCTAGACTTCTATATGGATGTGTATGTATCTTCAAATCATCTGTTGACTTACAATGATTCCATAAATTTCATAGGGTTTTCTTAGACAATTAATACTTAAAGGTGGTTTTGCCAGTTCCTTCTTCTGAAATATAGCCTACAGCACCTGGTATTCATTGGCAGTCTCCCATCCAGGCATTAACCAGGGCCCCTGTGTAGCTTTCAAGATCATACAAGATCTGATGACTTTAGGGTATTTAGGTTTCGACAGATAATTTTAAAGGTGATTCACTTTTTGTGTCGAGAGAAGCTGGCCAAGCCTGATTGATGCCATCTAATCACACCTCGGGGAATGCTGTGAAGAGGGGATAGGGGGGTGAAGTATACAAAACTAAGGCTTTTTTCTAACAGAAGACAGAGAAGGGAAAGATTACCTAGGAAGAAGGAAAAGCTGTAATAGGACAGTCAGCCAAGAGAAAATAATTCAATTGGTTCTGAGAAGCTGTGAATGATTAAATAGTTCAGAGATATGATCAAATTCTACATTAATAATTTTTTACTTTTTTATTCTTGTTTCTTTTTTTTTCAGCTCTGTCTGACTGTTCCTGTTAAGTTTGGATAGAAAGTGAAATCATGCTTATCACAATGAGCCTACTGGACAGCACAAGCTCAAGTACCCTATCTAAGCTCAAGTACCCAATCTAGGGGGTGATTTTGTGAGGGAAAGGGTCAAGATCGGTGATCAGGGTCCAAGGGATTGGACCTCTTCCCACTCTTGTCGCTGCATGTAACATATCAGAAGATGGAAATGCTTTTACCCTTGATACAAATAGGCTTCACTCCTTTACCTTACAGGTTTGTTTTCTGGACCAGTGTCTCGGAAACCCATCTGTTCCAATTTGCAGCGCCGGTACAGTTCATAGTGGCTCATGTGAGTCTGCTCTCTCAGATCTTCCATGTTTGTACAAATCAGCATTTCCCGGAGCTTCACAAAATCACAGTGGTGCTCATTCTCCACTAATGAAATAAAATGGATTGAAAAATTACAAGTATACTATTAGCATAGGATGCATCCAAAATACATTGCTCTCACTCAGAAACCTCTATAAAATAGGAGGAAGGGAGGATATTAGATTGTTGCAAAATCAGTAAAAATGAATTAAATCAGTTGACAACCAAATGATTAAACAAGTGAAAGAACTTCTACCTGCTGACATTAACTCTTGACAAGTAAGAATTCAAACTTTCATTTACCTTGTACAATGCCCCAAGGATACTGCCGAGCTTTTACAGTTTTGTTTCCAATCTTTATCTCTTCCATACTCCCCACTACAGCAAAAGGCAAGTATCCCTAAGACACATACATAAGAATAAATAAAATTTGTTTTAATAGATCAAAAATTTGCAATACATATTTTGTCAGTACTGTCTATCTCGAAAATACAGGAATTTCAAAATGCTGCAGTTACAGGGAACATATAATTTGCTTTTTTTTTCATGTCAGGAGCGACTTGAGAAACTCCAAGTTGCTTCTGGTGTGAGAAATTCTCTCTCAAGGACCGCCTGTAAAGACATTGCCCAGGGGACGCCCGGATGTTTCGATGTTTTACCATCCTTGTGGGAGACTTCTCTCATGTCCCCTCATAGGGAGCTGGAGCTGACAGAGAGCTCATCCGTGCTCTCCTTGGATTCGAACCTGCGACCTGTCGGGCTTCAGTCCTGCCGGCACAAGGGTTTAACCCACTGCGCCACCACGGACTCCTATATAATTTGCTTATTGAATAGCTTCACAATCTACTGATTCATATCTTTGTGTTTTTTATCCTAATACCAGTCTACAGATTGATATTTAGAAGCAAGAGTAGAAGAGGTTGGATTCAATTTAAACTGTGTAATGTTTACAGCAAGAGTCAGGATAATGTCGTGATTCGAATGTTGCAGGATGATTCTGGAGACCAGGGTTTAATTTCCTGTTTAACTTTGGAGGCCCACAGGCTAACTACACATTATCAGCCTCAGAAAATCCTGAGGTAAAGTTGTCTTAGGGGTGTCATAAGTAGAAAACCACTTCAAGGAGCACAACAACAGAAGAGGAATCTATAATAGCTTTATGTAAGGCTTGGAGAAAGACAATACAGAGGCAATCTAAGTGGCAGCAATATCCTAGGAAAGTAGAGGAATTTCAAGTGAGATTCCCACAGATTGTGACTAATATTATGATCACCAACTGGATTTTTCCCTACTGTTCTGTAAATTTCCTCTATTAACTTTTAGTCATCTACAGAAAGGCGCTACAGTCACACACTCTCAGTCTCAGAACCCCTACCAAAGAATTCTTAATTTCTAAAAGTTAGATAAATTAGAATCAGGTGGTTCCTTGTATATGCCATTCCTCCCCACATCTTTTCCCCTGAATGTACTGAGAATACAAAAATCTAGCAGAAACAATTATGGACACTTGGGTACCCTCTCAAGCACTAGGTAACAAGTGTTCCACATTCAAACACTTACATGCTATGGGGATAGCTACTGACAGTCTATCTTCAGCATAAGCACTCAAAGAAAAAGACCTAAGAGCCTAGGAATAGCTCTTGCTCAGCTTTACAAAGAAGTACTGTATATTTGCTGTTGGCATAAACTCCTATAATACACATTCCACATAGGATTTATTGCCCTCTATGAATATCTGGGAAAGAAAAAAATACAACATAAAATGCCCCTCATAAACTAGCAATTGAATGTATCTTTCTAAAATTAGGTAGAATGCCAAAGAGGCACCAAGTAACTCCAGGAATATTTGGTTTCTATATCAAGCAGATTGTAGTCAATGCAATATGAGTTTATGGTTAAAAAAATATCCAAAATGCTTTGTAATGTTGAACAAGAAAAACTGACATTTCTTGTTACACATGTCCTCTACAAGTAGGAAGTGAGTCCTACTGCCATATACTCCAGTTCAAAGCAGATAATGTGGGATTTTATTCAGCTGTGTGGAAGGAGCCTAAGAAACAAACAGAGGTAAAACAAAAGTGCAGGTATGATCTCTAGGGCCCCTTCTACGCTGTCCTATATAATAATAATAATAATAATTAATAATAATAATAATAATAATAATTGTTGTGTTTCAAATAATAATAATAATGTTATTTCTTACCCACCTCTCCCTGCGGCTCAATTCCAGATTATCTGTTTTAAACTGGATTATATGAGTTTCCACTGTCAGATAATCTGGGATAAGGAGATAATCTGGAATCAGATCCTGGGATATAGGGAGAGTGTGGAAGGAGCCTGGGACTCCTTCTGTCACTAATTAGTTTATACTAGGGCTTCTTAAACTTTTTACACTTGAAGCCTCTTTTGGCTCAGAGATTTTTTATGTGACCCTAAGTATATAGGTATATAGAATGGGCATAAAAATCAAACATTTACAGGTAATAAATCAGCATTTGCAAAGCTTCCTAAACAGGCTGATTTCCCTTTATGTAGGGTATAGCTACATAACAGCTCCCGCTGGCGCAGTGGGTTAAAGCGCTGAGCTGCTGAGCTTGTTGACCGAAAGGCCGCAGGTTTGATTCCGGGGAGCGGCGTGAGCTTCCGCTGTCAGCCCTAACTTCTGCCAACCTAGCAGTTTGAAAACATGCAAATGTGAGTAGATCAATAGGTACCGCTCCGGCAGGAAGGTAACGGCGCTCCATCATGCCAGCCACATGTCCTTGGATGTGTCTATGGACAATCTCTGCTCTTCGGTTTAGAAATGGAGATGAGCACCACACCCCAGAGTGACTGGACTTAATGTCAGGGAACAACCTTTACCTTTAACCTAGGGTACAGCTGAAGTAGTTTATGCACTGCCCACTGTAAACACTGCACATTGTTGCTAACAGATTTGTATAAATGGATAGCATTCAGAAACCCTTTACTGTTCCCAAATTTTTCGTGACCCCAACACTGAACTAGGGGAACCCCATTTAGGGTTGGGATCCACAGTTTTAGAAGCAGTGTTCTTTACAAATGTTGATACCTCTTAGCTTGAACAGCAACAGCATAGAATCCTTGAAAAGGAATGAATTAAAAAAAAAACACTTAGTAGGAATGTTCAGTTATGAATTCTACTTTTATATAACTTTGGGGAAAACCATAATGACAAATAATGACCACTCAAATTGTGGAATCACTAAAGTACTTACATTCATGGTTGCATTAACTTTAGCAACAGTCTCATCGTCTGTTGGAAACTGGTATATTTGGACTCCGTTACTAACCAGTTCACTCATGATTTTACTCTTAAATCTCTGTAGTTCAGATTTAGAAACTGTATCTGCTTTGGCAATAATTGGAATAATATTCACCTATTAAAGAAAGAAGTATCAATAATATTGTAATATTTTGGAAACCTGCAGTATGAGGCTATGAAGAAAGAAATAATAATAATAGTTATAATTATAATAACAATAATAATCTTTATTTGTATTCCACCCTATCTCCCTGAGGGGACTCAGGGTGAAGTGGTAGTCATATATGTCAAACATAAGCATATAAAGCTAACCTTTTTATACAAAAGTTCCTTCCACAAAAAGGCAAATTACATTTTAACTTGAACAGAAATTTGCCTTTCCCGAGTAAAAGCTTATACAATAAATCCATTCATGTGTGTAGTTCATCTGAGTCTTCATGCATACTAGCTAAATGAATATATACTATGTTCTGAGGTTTCTTAAAAGTATCAATTCTAAAAGAGAAGATTTAAAACTAGATTCCAAAATAAATAGAAGCAACAGGTTATCAAAGTATGTACTGGTATACATGTTTATATCTCTGTGCAGTCCATCTAATTTCCCCAAAAAGGAAAAGGAAACATGAACAGAAAGTACTTTCCTAGGGTAATTCCAGACAATGGTAAATTCTGCTATGTCCTGGGTTTAAAAGCTCGTGCTTTCCGTGGGCGTTGTCTACATGTCCTCCCAGTACCTACTGGGAGGATAGGGAGACAACCCCCCTCCCCAACCCCCCCCCTCCCCAACTCCCCCAAAAAACCCTTTTAAAATTAAAGAATTTATCCAGCTGCCATTACCATGGTGCCGGAGCTCTCCTGGCACATAGGAATGACACACCAGGAAAAAGGGGGCCAGGAGCAATTTTCCTCCTCCCCCCGCCCCCTTTCTCCTGGGACGTCATTGCTATGTACCAGGAACCTCTGGCACCATGCTAATGGTGGACAAATATTTTTATTTTATTTTTAAAAGGGGAGGTTGGGGAGGGGGTTGGTACCCTTGCCATTTTCCGGGCTGATTTAGCCCAGTAAAACGCATGACTGCTGTCTGGACTACCCGCTCCAAAGTCTGGAACTTCTGAAAGAGCAGACCAGATATCTGGAATAGTGGGTTTGACCCACACCTTTCTGTCTGCTTCTCATCCTGCCTAAAGAGAAGATTGTTTATACTGCTACTTGGAGTAAAATGTCTCTTTATAATCCACAAATGCTTATTAATTTTTTTTGCTTCACTCAGCTCTGAACTCAAGAAACAAATCTGTCTTCAAACCATTTTGAAAAACACAGATTTCCAGTTAATTATCAGTCTTCACCACTGGAGATTCACCAACTATACCATTTTAAAAATGCAAGTGAAAGAATTAAGTAATGTACACAAGGTAAGTGAAGTTTGTAGGACATTACTAAAAGTGAAAATGTGACAAAGAGACAGTAACAATGAAATTGACCATGCCCATGCCCCAACCCTTTGTTTGTTTGTGATCTGTTCTATTATTTCATTGCTTACGAATAACAAACATTCTCCTGCCAATTTAGGCTAAGAATAAACCATGTGAGACTATTTTTACTATATTAAAGCCTGATTCAAAGTTGTTAAATCATATTCTTATAAAGCGACCTACTGCTTTGAAAAACCTTACTACAGAATACGCAAGTTTCCTAACAGAAATAAAAATGAAAGACAGAACTGGAAGAAAAGCTGTCATGATTGAAGGAAAAGACACTGAGAGCTCTGTTAGCTGGTAGTGGAACACAGAGAAAAAAACGGAGGAAGAAACAGAGGAGTCATAATAAAAAGCTGGAAATGGTACAAGAGAATACAACCTGTGATTGTAGACAGTTCACCTACAACATTTAGAGAATTTTTGTTTCCTGTCCACAGCGTCTTCTTGTTGCCATTTGCTTGAAAATACTGAGTATAACTGGTATACAAAATTGTCAAGAAACCCAATTCAATAACATCTGACTCGTATTTGAGAAAATTTGAATCAAGGCCTCAGGCATAGAGTAAACTGGGGTCCTTTACACACACCCATATAATCCAGAATATCAAGGAAGTTGCATGTGCAAGTGCGATACACCTCCCACAGCCAACCCAAGAAGTACGCTCACACATGTTGTTGGGATAAACAATGGCCACAACTCATTTACTGATAACAGGAACAAGGGTTGGCACCCAAGCATGGGTCCTGGATCACAATCGGGCAGCCCAATACTGCCTGATCCCACACACACCGGGGTGCCGCCGGCACAACACCGGGCAAATGCAACTCGGCACCCCTGGGACCACCGGGCATCCCCCCTTTCCGCTAGGGGGGGATACCAAACCAGATCCAGGGCCCGTGCCCCACGCCAACAAGGAGTTGTGACAAGGAGCATAAAACAAGTCGGGCCATGCCTTATAATCCACAATATCTGCTTTGAACTGAGGATCTGATCCCAAGTTTTCTATTTATTCCAGATTAACTGGCAGTGTGGACGCATATAATCCAGTTTAAAGCAGAAAACCTGCAATTAGATCCTGGGATATAGGGCTTGTGTGGAAGGGCCCCGAGTGTGGAAAAGGCAAAGCCACACACTAAGGAGCAGTAGAAGCCCAAGCCAGGCCTCTCTGTCCCCCTAACTGTGAGTACCCTTGCTGAAAAGTCAGAATAAAGTTTGGAGCTGGAAGAAAAAGAACATAATGCTGCCATCAAAGAATAAAAGGCATTCAAGTTCTCCACTTTGATATCACCACTGCTACTGTCGAAACCTCAATCCCTGAGAGAAACTGCACTGCCTTTGTGTTTCTCCTACTAAAGTGAAGTGGGGAATCCTGTGGCTCCACTGGCTAGCCATCTGAGGGAAGTTCTCGGCCAGGAGTTTTGTGTGGGTACAGGGCTGGCACATGCCTTCCCTCTTTTGAGCTACTTGTTTCCCCTTTCTCCTCCTTGCTGCCCTGCCACTGCCTCCTTTTTCTTCTTCTCCTCCACACGTCATCAATCCTGCCCTTCATGCTACCAACGGTGAAGTGGCTGTTGGGCTAGAAGTATGAGCAGAACACAGACTGTTGCGGGGCTCTTGCTTGTTCATCCATAGGAGATTGCATGTACAGTATTGTATCTTATGTACATGCAAATACAGATATTCAAAAATCCAAAACATAAAATGCTTCTGCTCTCAAGTATTTTAGGTAAGGGATACTCAACCTGTAATTACTTTTTAACTATTAAATTTGATATATATTTAATGAACGGTGATAAAATCTAGATGTATGTGACCCAGCATGCAAGTCTTCCTCAATGATGGCAACAGTAGAGAAGCACACCACTGCTGGCAATCAAACATCTACGCACATAGGGATGTTTACTTGGCAGTCATAACCAAAAATGTAGATCAGATAACCCAGACCCAGTGACTCATATAAGGATAATAAAACTCAAATCACTATAAATAATGTATGTCAACCATGCAAAAAGAAAAAAGAAAAAAAGGGGGAGACAAAACAAAAAAAGATGGGACTTGCATCTTTTGCTTTCATGGAAAGTTGACAGACATATTATCTTATAGCATCTTTTAGCATTTCTATCTGCTTAGTTCTGTTGCTTTACAAATTTTACTCCCTAATGTATTGTTTCTTTTAATCTCATGAATGCATGAGATTACTACCTCTGAGGATGCTTGCCACAGATGCAGGCGAAACATCAGGAGAGAATGCCTCTAGAACATGGCCATATAGCCCAAAAAAACCTACAACAACCCAGTGATTCTGGCCATGAAAGCCTTCGACAATACAATGCATTTTTATGTTACATGTTAAAAGGGGACATTGGGGAGGGGGTTGGTACCCTTGCCATTTTCTGGGCTGATTTAGCCCAGTAAAATGCATGACTGCTGTCAGAAAGATTTTTATCCTGCAAAACATGATATAAATAAGAAATAAACAAGATGCACCATTTCAGCTGCAACTCCATTTACTTCACTTTTCCTTATGGAATTTCATTCATCTTAGCCACAGACTTCACTATTGAATAAGGAGCCCCCGGTGGCGCAGTGGGTAAAACCCCTGTGCCAGCAGGACTGAAGACAGACAGGTTGCAGGTTCAAGTCCGGGGAGAGGCAGATGAGCTCCCTCTATCAGCTCCAGCTCCTCATGCGGGGACATGAGAGAAGCCTCCCACAAGGATGATAAAAACATCAAATCATCCTGGCGTCCCCTGGGCAATGTCCTTGCAGACGGCCAATTCTCTCACACCAGCAGCGACTTGCAGTTTCTCAAGTCGCTCCTGACACGACAAAAAAACCCCAAACTATTGAATAAGTTGTCATTGGCCCATTTTTCTTTGTAATGTGTGACCTTTTCCTCCTTTCTCATGTGACACACATATTATCCAGCAAACTCCTGAAAAGGAGACTGGATATGAAAAGACATTGATAGCTTTTCTTCTGCAAAATATTCTAAAGCCTGCCTCTCCTGCTTCCTGCTTAGGAGTTAGAGGGAAAAAAACTATGCCTGGCAGAGTTATTAGCCTGGAGCTGACTGTGTTGAAGACAATCTCATAAATATATAGAAACCTAAAATCAGTTAAAAGCAGTTCAATTTTCTCCCTTCTTCACTGCCAAAAGGCTCACTCTAGACTTGTCCTTTCTCCAGAACGAAATTGTTGACAACAGACTTAAGACAAGCTCCAAATTCCCAATCACACTGGAAATCCCATTGGCAGAAGAATACTAATTCCACTGCAGGTGTCAACTGTCTTGTTGGCAATCTTGTTAAAACACAAAATTAGATATTATTTTATTATTCCTTTCTTGTTCCATGGCAAACAATTTTCATTTCAAGTTATGTTCAAAGCAACAAATTTCTTTAGAACTGCAAATGTGACTATGTTCAAATTAATGTAAGATGGGAGAAGGCTATACAATATAAAAACTATTAAGAATGCTTTAAACTCTTACTTCAAATACAACAAAAAGAATTGGACTACACTGTTGGCATTTCAATTTGATTTGGCTTTGCTAAAGATACCACATTTAAAAAGACCCTCGTTGTACCGTAACAGAACAGAAGAAAGAATGCTGACATTTTTGTAAGAGTTAGTTTTCACATCTTACCTTGCTATCCAATATTTTCATGGTTAATAAATCAAGAGTTTTAAGAGAATGACCTGTCGGTGATATAAAATACAGGCACACGTGGATGCGAGTGTCATGGTAATTATATAAAGCACGTTTAATCTTCAGCTCTTCTTGGAGGTAGGCCTCAAATTGTGCATCTATGTAATCCACTATTGGTTGATAGCTGGAAATGAGGACACGGAGAGAATGTTAGAATGCATATTTCTTCTAATATACTTCTCTACACAAGTAGTCATAGGACCACAGAAGCAACATTGGCCCAACTTCATTTTTATAACAGTATTAGTTGTTCAGAAAAGTCCATCAGTTATCCTTCTGGTTATCATCATCACTACCTCCCTTCCAGCCCCCCCCCCCCCCCCCCCCCCCCCCCGCGCCATTTAAAAACTCAGTTCCTCTCAGAATTTTGGCATGTCTGGAAGGGCCCTAAAACAATGCTCAACACCAGTTGCTACTGGGGACATAAAGAATGGATAAAAAAGAGGCAACAATAACACAATGTTGGAGTTGAGTGGAGCTGACAATTTATCATGCTGCAGTTTGTGGATTTATGAATGACCAACAATGATCAAATGCTTTCAAATTGCTTTTCCATCACCATTACAGTTGCATTTTACTTTATATACCCTAATAACAAGTGTCCATCTCCAGTAGACTATGACAGCTAGTTTTAGGAAAAGAGCCAGCATCTAAAGAGAGCCAGCATCTTTGGTCCCTTCTACAGAGCTGCATGCAATCCAGATTATCTGCTTTGAACTGGATAATCTAGCAGTATAGATTCATATAATCCAGTTCAAAGAAGATGTGGATTATCTTCTTTGATAATCTGGATTATATGGCAGTGTAGGAGGGGCCTTTGCCTTTCTTTAAACGGCTGCTCCCCATGATAGACTGCAGCATGCATGTTGTTCATAGACAAGGAATTAAAAATTGCCCTAAGAATATGCAAGCTTTTGGGCGAACATCAAGTAGCTTTTTGGCTCCTAACCAATGCATTCAATATTAGATTGTTAAATGTTTTATTAATATAATGACAGTTTTTTGCTCTGTTTTCAAACTACAAGAAATCAGTTTCCTGAGTCTGAATGGACAATCAACAACAATCAACAGTCTGGAAAAAAAGTTATCTGTAAATGGGTTCATTGTTATAGTAATAACAACATTAACTATACCAACACCACTATAATCATGTATATGAACAGAAAGACCCAATCAACACAGCCACAGTTCTGAATTTGCAATATCTGGAGGTTCATTGATGTCAGGGTGAATTGGAGGTCTCTCACTCATAGAGTTGCCTAAAGTTGATGGGTTAATAACAACGACAATGATATAAAGGTCAGCTTAGATTGCATATCACTGGTCAATGATAAAGTACTAACCTATCATCTTTGTTTATCTGGTCACCAAATCCGACAGTATTTACAACTGTCAACTTCAATCGAACATTGCTTTCCTGGAGTTCATAAGTCTCAGCTTTAAGTCTTACATTAGGCTGAAAATGTGTTGACATACAGTCATCAAAGCAGGTATTAAACAAGCTATCCATCAAAGTTGATTTTCCAATTCCTGTCTCACCTGAAATTGAAATAAAATGTATGTTTATTTTACATATCAGTCACATAAATTACACTTAATATAAAGAGAATAAGCAATTCTCACATTGAAAATTATGTAGAATAACAAGTGTTGCAACTTACTAATGCATGTAATCTAAAAACCAAACAACTGATCATTACACCATGTTATTTCCTCAAATGACACATACACAGGTACCTTCACTTATTAGCTTCATTTCTCAAGCTGCAACAGTTGTTCCCTTGCATATAATTTATATATTTTTTTCTGCTTCATGCTACCAATAACTCAGTTTCACAACTTCTCATTGTAGAGAAATGAGCATGAGGCTACAATGATAAATAGCAAGTACTTTTGATGATCTCTCGTTCTATGATTTTTCTTCTTTTAAACATCATTATAATTGCATTTCTTAAATGGAAATACTTTGAATTTCTTTTCAGTCAAAATTGTTGAAGCTAAAGAAATTTGACAAAAATGCAGAGAGGTCTGTTTAAAAAAAGGTTGATGTTTCTCTTTTATTCAGGAACTGATGCAAAAAGGTTCACAATCTTTGGTTCAATGCTAAGCAATACATTTTCCTCTATCACCAAACTGTTAGCAATTCAAACAGAGTGATGAATTATTTATTTGGGGCTGTGGACAATTTAATAATATTCATTCCAAAACCACAGAGCAACCTTCTGGCATAATTCTTGATGACTGGTCATGTTGTTTAGAGTGATGGTAACTGGAGTTCAAAACTTGCATCATGCTGTGGAAGGTTGTTATAGAGGTTTATAGAAAAATAACATATTGGCAAAACCATTCTGCAAAACCAGACTAGCCAGCGCTGTGATATCAGCACCTGGCTTCAGATCAGTGATGAACTGATCTTCATTTCTCCAGAAACAAGATATCTAAAACAAGATATTCCCATGGTATTTTTTTTCTCAATGAAACTGGAGAGTAGGGGTGGATAAACCAATGACACTCTCCCAGGTGCACTGTTTCTTCTGGCATGACTGGAAGAGATGGCATGTCAAGGTCTAAGATTTAATTGAATGGTAACTTTTTAATAGAAGATTTTCTAAGGTTTTGAGAGGTCCTCCTGGAAACTAAGTGGTCCCAAATATTCAGTTTTTCTGTAATGTTTTAGAACAAGAAGTTTGTTTTGTGTGCGTGTGTGTTTTCCACTTGAAGATTTAGAAGGGGTGGTCCAAAGGCCAAAGAACTGGGGACTATATATGAATCAGCGTATGAATACTTATTAATGTAAAAGATAAGGAATTAATTGATCACTGAAAAGGTAAAAACAGTTAATGCAAATTACTCATTTATCCCATTTATGTCCCGTATCTTTAGACAATATCCAATGGAAAACATTAACAATCAACAAATGACAGTGGAAAAGAGAGACTCATTTCAAAGAAGTGAGGCACGTTGCTAACCGCTATATTACTCACCAATACAGAGAATATTGAAGCAAAATCCCTGATGGATAGATTTGTTCACCAACTGATCTGGTAAACTATCAAAACCAACATGACCAGCCAAGGGTAAGGCTCGGCAACTCTGCTGCATAAAGAGAAACGAAAATAAATACTTGAAATTCCATTTCTATTTTACAAGTGGCCAAACACTGCCACTTCTAAACATGATAACAGACAATATCGTAACAGCTTGCTGAATGGGCCTTGTGTGTTCGTTTGTTTTCATCCAAATAAAATTCTGTATATTGGTATTATGTGTTATGCATTTACATGGCTTTTTAATTAATGTGTTGCATTTGTATGCTGCCTGTCTCCCAGAGTGGAACACAAGACATTACTTGATGTTGCAAAGGCTATGTATCAAAGAGGAGTGATGCTCAACTGATTTGAGTCCTTTAGTACAATGCTAAAGTGGTATATGGATCAGAGGCAGTCATTGAGCCAGTAGCTGTCAATCTCTCGCAAGTTTATAAAGGAAAAACTTTTACCCACTGGACACAACTATAGAGACAGTTTCCTACATCAGATAACCTCAACACTGTTTTGACAGGCAACTGAAAGTCTTGCATATCTTGTATGATCGAGTAATACTAGGAATTTACAGACTGGCATGTTACATTTATAGCAGGATAGCTCTCAGTTCTTTCCTCTCGTTTTCATATTTCCATCCTTCAACTTCATTCGTTAAAAGCTCTTCCTTTTAAAAATCTCTCACTATCTTTCTATCCTTTGACCTTCTTCTCGTCTCAAATCCTACTTTTATTTCTAACTAGAACAGACTTACTGAATCAAATGAACTCGCATATCTCTTGACTTTCCAAGTTTTCAAAGATTCAATGGACAAACAACCAGACTCAGGTCTTTTCTTATATATATTGTTCTTTGTTTTTGACACTGAGAGGCCTTTTATTTATTAATGTTAACTTTAGTATGAAACAGCGACTCTTGTCACATTTTATGCAAGTCTTCAAAAGACAAAAGAAACTTTATGCATCTCTAATTCATCCTTACTCAGATTAGATACTTATGTTTTCATAATAATTTCCAGAGTTAGTCTGTTGCAGGAAATCTAACAAACCTGAGGCACCTGAAAGATTTCCACATTTATTTTGAAATATGTTTCAGCACATGATGCAAATAAAAAAGGAAGGAAAAAAAGGAAAATAAAACTGTGATGACACAGGACTATAATGGCAACATAAAAGTCATTTACTCACCCTCTTTGCATCATGGTTATCAACTGGTGGATTAGAGGGTGCCCTCATTCCAGTATCAGTTTGAAAGCGCTAGAAAAAGGGGGAAAAAACATAATTTGAAGGGGAGGGGGAATGAGGAGCATTGGTAATTTTTTTAAAAAATGAATATTTTGCTAACAATTTATGAAGAGATTAAAGCTGAAGTTCTAGATCCAGTAATTGAGGAGAAGCAAGTTGCCTTAAATTGGAAATATTATTATTGAATTAACAACTATTCTATTAAATTGGGTTGTGCTCTACCTACTCATGTATAAGTCTAGAAATTTTAGTTTAAAATGGCCCTTGGTTGACTTATTCATGAGTCACTGTAAGTACAGGCAGTCCCCAAAGTTACAAACAAGATAGGTTCTGTAGGTTTGTTCTTAAGTTGAATTTGTATGCAAGTTGGAAAAGGTACATTTTTAGTTTATCTCCAGACACACGCACACGCACACGCACGCACACACACACACACACACACACAAGCTTTGGATAGCACAGAGAAGGGTTAGCACCTTTGTGGAGCTTGTTTTGCTGTCTGTGCCCCTATTCAGATTTCATATAACTTTCTGTCTCTAATAATTGGATTTTGAAAAATTGGCCATGTTATAGAAACAAGGAATGGTGATAAAACTTCAGTGGAGACATCTAGGAATTTCCCTTCCTAGAGGTAGATTTCCCACTTCCTGTTGTTTCACTCGCATTTTAATTATGAGTTGTTTGTAAGTTGGATGTCTGTAACTCGGGAACAGCCCGTACTCTATCTTTACTGTTATCAGAAAAGGAAAATAGTGGCAAAAAAGCACAAACTTTGTTTGTCGTGGGACAATATAAAAGAAACATAGAACCTTTCTACACTCATTGCCACAATACCATGCATGGGTGGAAAAATGACAATGGCAGGGGCCAGAGTGGCTGAACCCTTAAGGAAGCACCAGTGCTTTGGAACCCTCAACTTAAGCTGCCCTGAGTACCCTGAGAAGGGCAGGGTACAAATATTTGAAATGAAATAAATAAACTTACCTACAATTCATATATGAATTTATAAACTTAGCCCTCAAACCTGCCCTCGATTTAAACATGATTCGACCTATACATGAATATACACGATAATGGGTTATAGCTTGCAAGATTATACTGATACAGGATGACTCACACTATAATGAATTTCATAGCTCAGTAGCGACTTAACCCTAGATCTCTCAAGTGCCAGCTGAACACCAAGGATGAGAACCGTCAAGAACTATTGTATCAACAAGCCTATTTTGCTCTCAAAAGGCTATTTCATAATAGAACACATGGCATTTAGATGTTAGGTTATGTAGAAAATACACTCATTTTTATTTCATATCAACTGTAAAAAGAAATCTAAAATATTACCTTTTGCCAGAACAAAGTTTGATAAGGTTAATTATTTTTGCAAGAATGAGAATGTAACTGAAACAAACATATCTGTAAACAGGATGCTATAACATTACTAATTGTCTTGATGGAAAATTTCTTCAGTCAGTAACAATGCTTGCCTGGCAAAAGTACCAAAAAGTTTGTTTCACTATGTCCTTGAACTTCTGCCAAAGAGGATACTGTACTTGAAGATGTAAGTTTTAATCTGGAAACGAAGTGGCTCAAGTGTCTGCTAGAGATAGTGAAATGTACAAGTCTGACTCCTTACAACAAATAATTTATATTTTTAATTTTTTGCGTATTATGGGTGGAAATATTAGCAGTTTATTTTTCTATTTTCTTATTGTTTTGAAATTATAATCCTATTTTACATTCACTTACAGAATATATAAATTACAAAGTACATTCTGCAGTCATCATGTAAGTACTTATAAAACACCCCCCCTGCCCCCCCAAAAAACCCATGGACCAAGACCATCATTTCTTTGGACAGCTATTTCTACTAATGGATAAAAGTGCATTTACACTGCAATGCCCATTGTAATGCCTCAAAATTATAGAATAGAAATTACATTCTGATTATATGCTGCTGGTACCATAAAATGCTGCTCGTACTAGATGTTTGAAATTCTGCATTGTCTTGTTATTAAAGGGTGTCCTTTTCAAACTGGCACCAATTAGTCATCTCATGGGTGGAGTGGCTACAAAGAGCCAGTACAACTGAATCAGCTCCAAATCTATGCAAAGAGCAGCTCAATTTAAGCATTCTAATGCTGTCAGAATTCCAGAACTAAAATGCCATCATTGTTTTTATCTTCTTGTAATTTACTAAATGATCCCAACTTTGTTTTCAATACAAAAAATGGCCAGTTCAGACATTATAATTTTACTTATTTTAACATAAATGTGAATTCCAAACTCCTCTGTTCAATCTTGCATTACATTTCTTCATATAAAATAATATGATATAGTTCACTACTTTTAAAACTGAAATTACATTCACTCCAACATTTGGAGGACATAAAGAGGAATACAGTTTCATTGCCAGGGACTTAATATTATCCCAGTATGAAATACAGAATAATACTTCTTCAATCACTGGTTCAGTACAAGTAGAAATTCATAACAATACACTGCATTTTAAGTGTAGTAGCTTTAAAAAACTATTATTTCAAAGAAGCTCATGTTTTCCTAAGTATTTTTGGCAGAGGTCTAAACTAACCACAAAATCTGAGGGTTGCCTACATCAAAAAAATCTGTTCCTATCTGTATTCCAGTGCTGTTGAAACACATGATGTATGACCATTTTAAAAGTGAAAAACTTCCTTTTTGATTAAAGTGCATTTAAAAAAAGTCTCTTCAATTCGCAGGGAAAAATATTTTTTTCTAGTGTGTCTGTCTGGATTGGGGAGGCATTAATGTTATGGAACAGATTGGTGTGTGGCAAGCATCACCCTTTTTTAATGTGCAGTGGAGGGCCCTCACTGTTGAAAAGGCAAAATAAACAGTGGTTGCTTCCAAACTGAAGTTCATTTATATTTGCTATATTTCATCTTCTAAGTATGTGAATCACATACAATATTTTCTTTTTCCTTTCTCCTTATTTCCACGGGATAATTGTGAGCATTTTATATGGGGCGGTGGGAGAAACAATTCAAGTGCCACTTTAGAAAAGGGCCTCATGGACAGACTTTGGAGAACGACTATGCTACCCTGTAACTGGGTTATGCAGTCAGGTTTTCTTTCAACAAAAACAAGAAGCCTGTTTGCACTGAAATCAAAGGAATACTGTGTCTTTCTCCTCGGGGTCGCAGAAGCACTTCCATTGTCTTCTCTGCCAAGCACCTCCCTAGCAAGCCATGCTAGTGATCTCACTGGCTTTGAGGTCAAAAAGAGGTGCTCAGCTATGAGTTCTCATCAAAACGAAGCATCCAACTTTGAGATCAATGGTGAGGGGGGAGGGGTCAATTGGGCTATCCCCTCACCACTTATGTTTTAGCTGAGTTCGTCATTCTGACCTCAACAAAAGTTATCTGGTCTTAAAGCAAGCTTCAGATTGTGGCTAAATCAGACTGAATGTTTCCTCCATACAAAAGGATTCATATACACAGTGTGATTTAGTTCTTTCAGTATATTGTTTTAATTGGATGAACTGGCCCTGAAAAAAAAACACAATAAAGTCACAAGAATAAGAATGGAAGAACAAAATGTGTGCGCTCTCAGAGGTAATATAAAATAGAAAGAAGGCAGCAGGCATTTCATAAAGAGCTAATAACAGGTGGAAATCCCAAATATCTGTAAGAGAGTTCAAACACCAAACTTCAGCGGGTAAATTATCCCTCAAATACCAAAGAAAAGCAAACATTCACATCTGATCACCCTACTGCTATGGGCTCTTGACAAAATCGTAATGTTATTTTTTGATGCAATATATCCTGATTTATTTTAATCTTTTGAGTGGTGTGTGTGTATCATGTTAATATTTTTTCACCAGGGAAACAGAAGGCTTCATATGTTCTTACTTGTTACCTGGAGTATCTCTTCAAACCAAGTGGGAAACAAGTGTTTTAAAAAATAAATAAGACCTTTGAAAGAACCAATATGCCAGTGATTTACTAATTCAAATACTACTTGGACTTCTCAATATCACTCTGTGACAGCCTTTCTGTATATTTTACACAACGAAGCCCACAAAACCTCTCTATTCATAAGGTAATGCGCTTCAGAGAGATCTGGTGAATTCAAGAAAGTATGTGAAGAACACATAGTTTATTTGCTTTAGGGAAGGCACACTTTGCCTCTAATCTTGTTAGAGGTAAAGTCTAAAGTTTTATTGGCTAAGAGTGTTTATGTTTTCTGGAATGGTAGAAGGAAAACTGTGGTATAAAGGAAGAAACTCAGTCAAGTTCTGCCAAAAGAGAAAGCATATGAAATTATTTATATGTCACCTCTGAAGGCCACTTCACATAAATTAGAGACCATACACCCCTCCATACGTGGTTGCACTACAATTCCCAGCATTACTTCCCATTAGCTATGCCAGGTTGAACTGATGGAAGTTACAGTCCAAAAATATCCGCAGGGGCACATGATCCCCCATCATAACTTGTAAATGCAAGCTGAAGCCATTCATTAGGGTCTGGCATGCACTGTAGATGCCCTGTAGCTGTTTTCAGCAATGACTAACACAACACACCTCTACTACATCATCACAAAGTTCCTACATGAATTTTGCTATGAAGTAGATTCAACACATAAAATAAGATAATTCAGCACTAACTGGTGTCTAGTTCTAGGAGATGAAGAGATAAATCCTTTTTAAAAATTGTGTGCTTCAGATTGTGAAATCAGATTGAATGTTCCTCCATACAAAAGGCTTTGTACACAGAGTGTGCTTTAGTTCTCCCAACAGGTTCAATATATCTGTTTAATTGGGTGAACTTCTTGCGGCAACACCAGAGGTACTCCAAGTGGCCAGATACTGGTCAAAGGACATTTAATCAACTACCAAGCTTGCAAACTTTGTGTTTTGTCTGTTTGTTTGTTTGTTTGTTTTATTCTGTTAGAAATGTAATACAATAGTCTGGTTGCCCCTGACACGATAAATAAATAAATTGGGTGAACTGCCCCTGGAAAAAAACCCATCATACAATTACAAAACAATGACAGAAAAGCAGAAGCTGACAATATCTCAAAGGCAATATTAATAAATTATCCCTCAAATACCAAAGAGAATCAAACATTTACATCTGATGGCATATATGAGTCCATGAATGCCAACTCCTTAATAAATCCAGTAGCCCTCTGCTTGCTACATACCTAATTTTGGAAAAACTTGTTGGGGAAGCTGTGACTGCTGCGTGTACAATATTAAGAAAATGAGCACCTATGAACACAACATGCCGTTGGTGTTAGTTATTAATGTGACCAACACTTCTACCATAATAAGACTATGATTTAAAAATAAACCCATGCACAACTTATTTTGGAAGAGAGTCTAGCAAACTCAGTAGGACTTTTGAATAAATACTGCCAAAGTGACACCTGTTTGTGATTGTGCTTTTCAGTAACAGGATCTTTATATGAGTGTGTGAAACATATTTGAGGCTATCATTTTAAGCAGTAGTTCCCAACCTGTCATCCATAGATCACCAGTGGTACGCGTTACTACACCATTGCAACAAGAGCAACTGGTCTCACGAAACTCTCTTATACTGTTGAGATTTATTAAATGCTAGCTGTCCTCTGCCACATGTTGCTGTAGCCCAGTCTGTGTATGTGTTTTGTGTGCATGTATATATGCATATGTGTGTGTGTGTGTATGTGTGTTTATGTATATATGTGGTTTTGTGCATCCGTTGTAATTTTTGTTGGGGTTTTTTTTTTTTGCTTTTTAAGTATCTTCTGCTGTGTTTTTCAGTGTTTTTATGAGTGATGGTCACTTGTTGGCCTGATATGTGTATTGTGTCCAAATTTGGTGTCAATTCATCCAGTGGTTTTTGAGTTATGTTAATCCCACAAACGAACATTACATTTTTATTTATATAGATGGTTTTCTGTGAGTGAACAGATCACGACTACTGGATGGTACATGTTCTGTATCAGAAACTAGAGCTGATGTGGTCTACCCAATTCAATTTTCTGAATCAGTCCCCCAAATAACCAAACCGAATCTAAAGTTAACAAAACTGATTTGTAACCCTTTTGGTATTAATGCTGTAGAGTGGTCCCTGGTCAAAAAAAGATTGGGAATCACTGATTTCGAGGGAAAGAACCACTTTTTTCTTTGATGAAGAAACCTTACACATTTGTCCTAAGAAACAAGCAAAGCAGCCCAGAAAAGATGAACCCAAGACAAACAAAACGCTCAATAAACAAACTTCCCAATCTGATCGTATCCTGAGTAAAGGTGCATCTACACTGTAGAATGGCATGAGTTTAACTGCCATGGCACAATGCTATGGAGTCATATTTTGGTCAGAGCACAGCACTCTTTGGCAGTCAAGGCCACAATTCCCAGGATGACACTGCATTGAGCCATGGCAGCTAAAGTGGTGTCCAACTGCATTCGTACCACAGTGCAGATGCCCCCTCAAACTAACATCAAGGGGGCCAAGAGGCCTAAAAGGCCATCTAGATTTGGTTTTGACGCCTCGCCCTGTCACTCTGTTGGAAAGAAGCCCTTCAGTTGATAGAGAGGATACTATTAAACTATTCTATATTTATTTCCCTCTTTCCCTCTAAAATGAGGACTCCCGAGTAGGTCACAGTTCAAAAGAACGATACAATGAAAGGCATACAAAACGAGAAGGCGTTAGGCTGAGTGTGAGGCCGGCTCCCCAAGGAGGCAGGAATCGTGGACCACCCCGCCCCAACAGAACGGTTGAGGGCTCCCCAACCGCCCCACCTCGCGCGGGACTCACCAGCGGCCGGGCCACATCGGAGGAGGCCATGACAGGCGAGACAGCAGGGAGGGGTCGCCGCGCGCCGGAGAGGACGGGCGGAGGAGCGCGAGCGCAGCCCTKCTCCAATCCCTGCGGCTGGAATGCCACACCACAACGCCGGGSAGGGAGGGAGGGAGGGAGCGCGAGAGAGAGAGAGAGGCCTCGCGGACAGGGAGGACGCGCGCTCAGCCAATCACATTCCGAACAGGCGGGGGATGCTGTCGCAGCCAGGGCACCCGAATCCAACGGGCGCGTGGGAAGGGGAGGGCGGTGTTCGAGCGGGGAAAGGGGCGTGGCCTCCAGGAAAGGGCGGAGCCAGAGCGACGGGAAAGTTGGGACGGAGCCGGAGAGGCCACGCCCTCTTTGCCGTCGCGGGTGTCACGTGGGGGAGGAGAGTAATGACGGAGAAGGAGTGGCGGGAGGGGGAGCGAAGAGGGAGCCGTGATTTGGTTTGTGCGAAGAGGAGGAGGAGGAGGAGGAGGAGGAGGGCTTTAAGCCGGGGATGAGGAGGCGCAGCGCCGCCAGGAGAGGCGGGAGATGGAGCCGGCGGCGGCGGCCGAGGAGGAGGACGACTCCGCGGTGGGGTTGAAGTCGGCGGGCGACCCCGGGATGGAGCTGAGCCAGGAGGCGGTGCTGGGCTTCTTGGCGGAGCGGGGCGGGCGGGCGCGCAACGCGGAGCTGCTGGAGCACTTCCGCGGCTGCCTCAACTCCCCGGAGCCCGCGCGCCGCGCCCAGGCCCGCCAGCGCTTTAAGGAGATGGTCAACGCCGTGGCCGTGGTCAAGCAGGAGCCGCGCGACGGCGGCGCCAAGTACGTGCAGCTGAGGAAGAAGCACTGGAGGAGGAGCGGCGGGAGCGGCGCCAGCAGCAGCACCAGCAGCAGCATCGCCCAGGGCGCCTCCGAGCCCGCCGGAGGAGGAGGCGAGAGAAGCAACAGGAGGAGCGCGGAGGAGGAGGAGGAGGAAGAAGATGCTCCTGCGGGTGGAAGAGCAGGCCTGGAGCCCGAGGGGGGGAAGCCTGAGGAGGAGGAGCCGGGAGCCCCTTCTCGGCTCTCCTCCTCCTCCTCGTCGTCGTCTTCCTCGGGCCTGGCGCTCAAGAAGAGCCGCCGCCTGGGCAGCTCTCCTCAGATGAAGCGCGGCGGGAGCGGGGTGTTTCCCCGCGCGGGCGAGTGGGAGGAGGAGGAGGAGAGCGGCTTGAGCGTGTCGGGCCCCTCGTCGGTGGCGCTGGACCCGGTGGAGCACGCGTGGATGCTGCTGTGCGCCTCGTGGGAGGGCCGCTGGGAGAGCCTGGAGGCGGTGCTGAGCGGCGAGCCGGCGCTGCTGGGCCGGCGGGACTTCGTGACGGGCTTCAGCTGCCTCCACTGGGCCGCCAAGCACGGGCGGGCGGAGCTGCTGGCGCGGCTGGTGGGCTTCGCGCGGCGGCGCGGGCTGGCCGTGGACGTGAACGCGCGCACGGCCGGCGGCTACACGGCGCTCCACCTGGCCGCCATGCACGGCCGCCTCGAGGTGGTCAAGCTCCTGGTGGGCGCCTACGACGCCGACGTCGAGCTGCGCGACTACAGCGGGAGGAAGGCCGCCCACTACCTCAGCGCCGGCGCTGCCGGCCTCCGCAGCCTCATGGGCTCCCTCCACGACGGGGGAGGCGGAGAGGAAGGGGAAGCCGGGAGCGGGGCCGGCAGCCGAAGCGGAGCAGGAGGAGGGGGGCGGTGGCGGCTCTCCAAGGTGCTCCCCACTCACCTGCTCGCCCACCGGCCCACCCACCACGAGGACAGCGAGCTCACCGTCGCCTCCTTGCCCGCCGCCGCCGAAGGCGCCCTGCCCGCCGGGAAGCTCAGCAGGAAGAGCTCCAGCGGGAGGGCCAAGGCCCGGCTCCACAAGGTCCGCTTCCGCACCCAGATCGTCCACACCACGCCGTCGTTCCGCGTGGAAGCCGAGGCGGAGGACAACGAGGAGGAGGGGGGAGGCGCCCCCGAAGAGAGGCCCCTCAAGGGCTCCTTCAAGCTCCGGCCCAAGTCCAACGTCTTCGGGTAGACTTTCTTTGGTCGTGTCAGGAGCCTCAAGTCGCTTCTGGTGTGAGGGAATTGGCCGTCTGCAAGGACGTTGCCCAGGGGACGCCCGGATGTTTTGATGTTTTACCATCCTTGTGGGAGGCTTCTCTCATGTCCCCGCATGGGGAGCTGGAGCTGATAGAAGGAGCTCATCTGCGCTCTCAGCGGATTCAAACCGGCACAAGGGTTTAACCCACTGCGCCACCGGGTAGACTGAAGGAGCAGGAATGGTGTGTTATCCCCAAGGAGGTTCACCTGGCCACCCCTGACACTGCACAGAATAGCCAAACAGGAGGGAGAAGTATTCTGAATAGGAAAGTTCAGTGGTGCAAGAGAAGGCCACTGCACTGCTCCTTGCTTTGGAAGAAGGGAGACTGGAAGGTATTCCTGAGTAGGTGAACTACTTATACCTGCTGGCACCCCCCCCCACACACACACACACACATACACACACACAAACTACCCAAATTCAGTTTTGGGGGAGTTTGCCATGCAGAACCAAACAGGAGGGAGAACAGTTCTGAATAGGAAAGTGCCAGAGATTGGACAGGGTCCTGTGGTGCTACAGAATGTCATTGAGCTGCACAGGAACAGTACAATGGCCACCTTCGGCACCACTGGACTTCCCAGTCAGAATATGTCTCCCACCAGTTTAGCAATTCATCATGATCTTCCTCCAAAGCCCCATCTGGGAAGAAAACTTGGCCAAGGTAAGAATTTGGGACTCTGAACACTGACATTTCAAAACAATGTGCAACTCAGTGTGTTGTCAAAGGCTTTCATGGCCGGAATCACTGAGATGCTGTGAGTTTTCCAGGCTGTCTGGCCATGTTCCAGAATTATTGTTTATTTATTTACAGTATTTATATTCTGCCCTTCTCACCCCACAGGGGACTCAGGACGAATTACAATGCACATATACATGGCAAACATTCAATGCCATAGACATGCAACATATATAGACAGACACAAAGGCAATTTAACATTCCAGTTTTCCAGCTTCATGAGTCTATGCTCGATTCCGGCCACAGGGGGAGCTGATGCTTCACCATCCACTTGTGACACCAAGTCCTTGATGGAGTACTTCCTATTCTTACACACAAAGGTTTTATGGTGTCATTAATTAGTTAATTTAGCCTTCCCGCATAAAGTGGTACGGAAATTTCCTACTTGACAGATGTAACTGTCTTTTGGGCTGCATAGGTCAACAGCAAACTAGACTATTAATGGTCGGGAGCTCACTCCGAACCGGGCTGGCTTCAAACTCATTACCTCTCAGTCAGTAGGGATTTAATGCAGCTGGCTACTAACTAGCTGAGCCACAGCCCAGTTTCTCCTAATGTTTTGCACACATATATGGCAGGCATCCTTAGAGGTTGTGAGGTATGTTGGAAACTAAGCAAGTGAGGTTTACCATGAAAATGAACAAAATCTGGCTGCCAGTATTTTTTTAAAGACTCTAAATTCAGGACAGTTAATAAAGAACACTTTGAAAACGGGAATTCCTGACAAGAAACAATCAGGGCCAGCTAACACTTCCCAACAAAGGATTTCCCCAAACAGGAACAGAAAGGCTTTGAAGCTGCAAGGCCATTCAGTGCTAGCCAATAATAATATTGCATTATATTGGTATAATACAATATAGTAATATATAATACTAATATTGTGCTATGCTAATAATTATAATATATGCACATATAACTTGTAAGCTGCTCTGAGTCCCCTTTGGGGTGAGAAGAGTGGCATATAAATGTCGTAAATAAATAAATAATAAATAAATAACTAAGGTGATTAATTGTAACATTCACACTTGTCTCAAGCAGTCAAAAGTTCTTTCTCTCACCCTGGACTTTCCACAGATATATAAACCCCGCTTGCCTAGTTTCCAACAGACCTCACAACCTCTGAGGATGCCTGCCATAGATGCAGGCAAGACATCAGGAGAGAATGCTTCAGGAACATGGCCATACAGCCCAGAAAACTCACAGTAACCCAGTAATTCTGGCCATGAAAGCCTTCGACAACACACTGAGCTCCACATTGTTTTGAAATGTCAGTGTTTGGGGTCCTCAATTCTTACCTTGGTCAAGTTTTCTTCCCAGATGTGGCTTTGGGGGAAGATTGTGATGAATTGATAAATGTGTGGGAGAAATGTTCTGACTGTGATGCCGAAGAAGGCCATTGAACGGTTCCTGTGTTTGTTTGTTTGTTTTAACAAGGGGGATTATGGGTTATACTATTCCTGATACCCTTTGAAATGTCCAGATGGGACTTTTGGGGAAGATGATCATGGACGTTAAACCTGCAGGAGAAATATTCTGAATAGGAAAGTCCCAGAAATTGGACATGATCCAATGGTGCTAGAGAAGGCCATTCATGCTTTTAAAATGTTGGCGTTCAGGGTCCTAAATTTACCTTGGTCAAGTTTTCTTCCTGATTACCCATAGGCTAAGGAGTGCTATTTCTAAAGTGTTTCTTTTCACATGGAAGCAATGAATATAGGTGTATGATTGACAAAACTTGTAGCCTTTGATGTGGTGAGAGTTCACGTGATGGAATGCCTTTACACGTGGTGAAACGTATTGCACATAGAAAACAAACAGTTTTAACTTCCACATAAAATCATGCCTTCTGCATGTACGTGTTTTACAGTCTTTTGTTTAGCTTTTTGTCACTACAGTGTAAATATGTGGAAGAGGCTTTCCACATAAAGAGCACCAGGCCGGTCAGGGCAAACTATACATTCATAGGAAATGTATACTCCATATTTGAAGAGAGAAATGCAGAGGTGAATGGCATATATAGAGGTAGCTATGAGATCAGGTAGCGCTGACACAGCTATCAGCTCTCCTTTGCAAGTACCTGGCTGGGAAAGCTGAGTTCACCTAGAACTGAGGCTTAAAAGGCAAATATTTGTATAGAAAAGTTAGAGAGTAGGGAAATGGTCAAGCATTTATTCCAACATCACAACCACTGAGGATGCCTGCCATAGATGTGGATGAAACATCAAGAGAGAATGCTTCTGGAACATGGACTTACAGCCTGGAAAACTCACAGCAACCCATCTTAGACCTTTCCTCACCTGTCCTCTCTCCCTGTGTTAGCAATTCAACAAAAACATAATAGTCCTAAGAGGCATGTTTTCAAGCATACCGTTCGGAAACCAGGGTTTATGAATCACTGTCTTGTGAATGGTTACAACAGAGCAGTGCTAATTTGTGTGCAGTAGGAGCTTATATAAATATTATCGAGGAAGGGCTTTTCCCCATTTTTTTCCCCAGTGCTAGAGTTAATCATTGATTTTTCAGTGTGGATATGTTTCACTCAGAAGGTCAAGCATAAGACAGTCACAGATTTGTAAAAAAAAAAGTTCTGAATAATGTTAAATGATTCAGCACTATGAAATACATTTATGCCCATAGACACTATGTATCTAGTACACAGAAGTGTGAATGAGGATCACTGTGGAGTACAATGTAGGAGTTCTACATGCATTACTGTGTTGGGTGTTCAATCTTGTCTTGGCTTATGCATGCAGAGTACAATTAGCAACACATGGAAATCTAAAAGCACACAGATAATTTGCTGCCATCTGTTACATAACATTGTAGAAATTGTTTTTGTTTTTTTCATACTTGGCAAGCAAGGTACTCAACATTTTTAATGAATATATATTAGAAAAGTACAGTGTATCTTGACAATTAATATATTTCTATTTTACTTTTGAAAAATAATGTACTAAGAATCGTTTTTGGGAAGAAGTCACCAAAATCAAAGTCTTCATTTCATGGTCAACCAGTTCTATAAAGCATACATGATTGATTTGTTATTAGCACTTTTTCTTCATAGAATAAGGAAATGGGGGGCTGGTTCCTCCACTGCTGCTGGTACGATTTTAAAAATCAAATGTTGCCAAATAAAAGCAAGAATTGCTAAAACATGTTTCTGAATTAGTTCATTGGCTACTTTTTATGCTTATTAAGAACCATGGATATAAATACAGTAGTTACTGTTTCTGAAAATAACTTTGGACATTATTGTATGAGGCTGCATAAACTGCAAGGTAGATTTTGTGTGCCCTCTTACATAATAATAATAATAATAATAATCCTTATTTGTATCCCACCCTATCTTCCCAATGGGCACTCCGGGCGGCCAACAACATATAACACAAATACTCAATGTCATATAATACAGTCAACTAATAAACCAGAAATACCATAAATTTTTAAAAAACACATTAAACATTGACATCAAACAATAGTGAGACCTCACCACCTAGTTAGACAACACACTAAAATTACATTTTAACTCAGCTATTATAACTTTAAAAATATTCAATTAGTAAAAAAAATTAAAAACATTACAATTTAAAGGATAGAAAACCAAGGTAGTACCCATTTTCATGTTCCAAGTCAAGCTGAATATTTCATATTTCCTTTTCATTATATGCTTGCAAGCATAGGAAAGCTTTTAATTCTTTTTCAAACAGGAGAAGGGAAGGGGCCATTTTAATTTCCTTAGGGAGGGAGTTCCAGAGGTGGGGGGGCAACCACGGAGAAGGCCCTTTATTTCGTTCCCATCAGCTGTATCCAAGATAGGGGTGGGACAGAGAGCAGGGCCTCCTCCACTGATCGCAGTGCCCAAACAAGCTTATATACAGAGATGCGGTCAGCTAAGTAGTCTGGACCCAAACTGTTTAGAGCTTTAAGGTAATAACCAGCACTTTGTATTTCACTCGGAAACACACTGGTAGCCAGTAGAGCTGCTGTAACGTGGGAGTAATTCTCTCCCTATGTGGAGCCCAAGTTAATAATCTGGCCGCTGATCTTTGGACCAGCTGAAGTTTCCGAAGTTTAACTTGTGTTACAGAAATAGTAGGTATCCCCATCAACCCCTTCTTCACAGTTTGCTTTTGGAGCATTATGACACAAGCATGGCAGGATAACTGTCAATTAACCTAAAAGGAATACCCCAGATATTTCCATGTAAACAACCAGTTATTGCATGTTTTCATGCTTGTAGATCACCACCAAGCAGCACACAGATACTCCTTTATAAATGAGAGAAAAACTTTGTATTGTTAATACTTTTTAAAAACACTCGCAAAAATATATTGATAAGAGCCTGGCAAATGCTATTAAGTTGTATTGTATGCATACAACTGATATTTTCTAAAATCCTGAGTGAAATAAAGGAAATCATAAAGCGAACTTGATACAAAATCGAATACACTACATTGATGCTTCTTCGTGTATACAAGGTAGACA